GAGACAGAATTCAAAAAACAATTAACTCTGCCTTTTCTTTATTTCTTTTTCCTCTGAAACACTGTACTTTCTCAGTTTTTCTGACCTCCATGCCTAACTTCAAAGGCATGACTTTGGGGGTTCAATAGTTACTGGCTGTTCTTCCAGGGATGGGAACTGAGTTCCCAGCACCTGCACTGATTGTTTGTAACCACCTGTAACTTCTGCTCCAAGAGCTTATGCTTTCTTCTGACCGCTACAGGCACCTGTACACATGTGGCATCCACTGACACAGACACACACAAATAAAAAAATTGACTTTCTCTCCATCTTACCCCTAGCAAATAGGAGGATTTTCAGCTTGCCCGCCCTGTTACAGAATGGTCCCTAGAGGTCAAATAAATAAATAAAATCATGGCCCCTTTTATACGGATTCTTGTCAATGAGAATTTGCAGCTTAAGAGATTTGTTAACTTACACTGTGCAGGGGTGAGCTGATACACTCTACTTAACCACATTTTCTAAAGAGACCTCTTCCCCTTCCCTCGTGACTCCCCCTGGTTATTTCATCTATCCTAATACCATCTCTGGAACAGAATGTTGGGCTTAGTTTAGAATATACATATAGAGATTGCCTTTACCTGACTGACTATGGAGAAAACAGTGTACTTCACCAATGTGTTTTTATCTTTGAGGAAAAAAAAAAACACCCGAGAGAGAGAGAGAGAGAGAGAGAGAGAGAGAGAGAGAGAAAACAACTTGTAATTCTAATCTCTTTGCCTTTTCTTTTGCCTTTTTTTTAGACAGGGTCTCATGTTACCCAGGCTGACCTTGAACTATAGATCCTCCTGCTTTCTGTACCACCATACCTAGCCTCACTTTATTTATTCATTTATTTATTTTATATACACCATGTATATGCCCTTGTTATCTTCTTCATGCCGTGTAAGGTAAGGATACTCAAGAAACTTAAGGCATCTGAAGGTAGACACAGACCTATTTACTTACTTACCAGAAGCAAGCCTGATCTACGGAACAAGTTCCAAGCCAGTCATGGCTACAGAGTGAGATTCTATCTCAAAGGAAAAAAAAAATCTCAAAGAGAAAAAGGTTGTATGTGTCAGGCAGGCAGTAGTGGTGTATTTCTTTAATTACAGCACTTGGGAGGCAGAAGCAGGCGGATCTCTGTGAGTTCAAGGCCAGCCTGGTATACAAGGGCTAGTTCCAGGATAGGCTCCAAAGCTACACAGAGAAACCCTGTCTCGAAAAACCAAAAAAAAAGAAAGAAAGAAAGAGAGAGAGAGAGAGAGAGAGAGAGAGAGAGAGAGAGGCAGGCCTGAGCTTTTTTGTCTGTGTTTATTAGAGACTAGGCCCTCAAGACAAAAGAAAAGCTCCCACCTCCACTTACAAGGAAGATTATAAATTAAGAGATCAACCTGGGTAACACAAGACTATCTCAGGAAAAAAAAAAAAAAAGAGGCCAGAGGCCAGAGTTGGTGGCTCTCTCCTATACATCAACTATAGGAAGGCTAATGAAGGAGGATGACATCAAGCTTACAAGATCTTAATGAAATCTTGGCTCATAAAAAAGCAAGCAAACAAACCAAAAAAAAAAACCCTTTTCCCCCTTATCCAGCTCTGGTTCTCGTTATCTCTGTTCATAGCACAGGCCGTGGTTTCCATTATATGATCAAAGAAAAACAAGCTAATAAAATATTTAATAGCTTTTAGGTAGCACATATTTCAGCAAGGGTATTAATCAGAAGAGGTAGTATCATCCCAGGAGTCCACACACAACAAGTAAAACATACTATTTTGACACTCAAAACTAACTTTTAAATATACATACCAACTAATCTCAGATACTAAACACCTATAAAACAAACTATAAATATACCTGACACAGAGCTTAAACAGCCATGGCAGAAATAAATATTTAAACAAAACAATGACATTCTGAAAAGCTAAGTGTGGTTGAATATACCTGTGTATCAGCTACTATAGTAACTATAGTAGTCTAAGGCAGAAGGATTGCTTGGAGTCCCTGGAGTCCAGGGACGGTTCAGTAAAGCTTCATGTTCTTTATTATGTTTTAAAAAGATTAGGCCAGCAGAATGGCTCAGTGTGCAAAAGCATTTGTCACCAAGTACACAGGAAGTCTGAGGACCCACATGATGGAAGGAGAAAAACCAGTGCCTGTAAGTTGTACTCTAACTTCCACTTATGAGCACATACATACACTCTCAAAATTAAAAAAAAAAAAAAAAAAAAAAAAAAAAAAGAATGGAAGGAAGTAGGCCTGATAAAACACATGGGGTAGCTCATGCCAATTAAAACAAAAACAAAGCATAAAGTAAATAAATCCAAGTGTGAGACCAGACTGGGCTATAACCCTACCTGACAAGCCAGAGCTACACAATAAACCTTGCCTCCAAACAACTAGCTTGCTGGGTGTGGTTAATACACAACTTAAATCCCAGCACTTCAAAGGCAGAGACAGGCAGATTTCTGAGTTCTGGTCGACAAATCAAACAAAACAGCTGGCTAGGTAGAGCGTCAGTATAGGAGCTGTGGGGGTGACTATTTCAGAACTGTTGTGTGACGAAGAAGGAACTAGAGCTCAAGATCATCTATGGTATCAAATGTTTTTCCTTTGGCAAGTCAAATGTGATTTTAATCAAAAAGCTCTTATTTTAAGGGAGCAATATACATCTTGGCATTTAACTCCCTTTGTAATTGTAACTTCTACTCTAATTTCAAATCAAGACTCCAAATAGCTGGGTGTGATGACATCCACCCTTAGTCCTCTGAGTTCCAGAAGAGCATAATCTACACAGAGAGTTCTAGACCAACCAAGACAGCACGGTCAGATCCTGTCTCAATATAACAAACACAAGATCCAAAAAAATAAATAAGTAAATAAAAAATGCCTGTCAGCTCTCATTTCTAGTAAAAGCTGAACTTAGTGACTTGAATTTCAAGTTACTGACTGAAGAGAACAGGAAACCAAGATCTCAGAACCCTATACAGATGATCAGTCCACAGTACCTCAACAAGGCTGATTCTGTTAAGGGGTTGTCATTGTCCAAATAATGAATATAGGCAAAAAACAAAGGGAAGGAGTAAATTTTCTCTATATACCAACCAGCAGAACCCAGGTGACAAATCATCATTTATTAACAATCAAAATATAAGAACAAGCATATGATGATGGTTACTTTAAGATAATTCATTTATAATCGACTCCTCCAGATTCAAACATGGTAACTATTCCAATGGGAAACATGGTAAATATCATTTAAGAGCTTATGGTTTGTCCAGTGTGGTGAGGCACACCTGTAATCCCAAAACCCGAGAGGCAATGGCAGGAGGATCTCTGAGTTCGAGGCCAGCCTGGTCTACAGAGTGAGTTCCAGGACAGCTAGTGCTGTTATACAGAGAAATCCTGTCTCAAAAAACAAAACAAAACTATAATCAAATAATTTTAAAAAATACTGTCATTTTAATAAACATTATCCTTTTTCACATTTAGAAAGCAACAAGAATCGTATGGCTCTCTAATGCTTTTAGAGGAAAGGCAAAAGCCACCTCTCCACGAAACTAAAAATAGAGGCCCATAAATAAAATTGCAACTTATGAAGAGGGTATCTATGACTATGTTTCCTCTGTCTAAGCTGGGATGTTTAAGGTGGTACTCAAGCCAATTCAAAATGGTAAGGACAAAATCCCAGGCCTAAGGGAAAAAAATCAGCTCTCCAGAAAAGCATCTAATAGGCAGCTTCTCAAGCAACAGTTACTGAGGAACACCCGCCATTCCTGACAGAGCCTCTAGAACAGCATCTGATTCACCTCCCATACACTTTCCCTCCTACACACAAGCTGTGGCTTTTCTTCGTGGGCCTTTTCAGCCCCCAATCTCCATTAATCTCTAACTACTTGGACCTCTCTATATTGCTCAGTTCCCTTGCGATTTCTTCATACAGCATTGTGAGCATTCCTCCAATCCATATCCTATTATGCAATATTTCCCCATAGCATTAAGAGTCACACACACCCCTCCCCATCTTTCTTTCTGAGGCCTAACTACAGGCCTAACTTAGGCTCTTCTACAATTCAAGGCTCCATTTCATTTATCCTCCCCCCTTGTAGGGTCTTTTGCCCTTTAATCCCCCGCCCCCATCTTTTAGACACGTCAAAATTTTTCTTCTGTTGTACACTCCTGTAATACCAGCACTAGGGAATCTCCAATCAAAGAGGAAGACATAGGAAGTGCCTGTCTCAAAATACAAAACAAAACTCCCCATTCCTTTCCAAAGTTGTACAGTCTAAAAATGGCTGACACCAAAAGAGTTAAATTGAGAAATATGTATGTGTCCGCGCTGTTGGGGCCAAGAGTAGAGGGGAGGAGGAATGACGCATGAGGGGTAGTCTGAGGGGAAAGGCCACTCCAGTAACTCTTAGTCCCAGTAAAATTCACTCTTCCCTAACCCCTCAGCAGTCAAAAGCACTCCATGACTCTTCAATACTTTTAAGTCCACAATCAATTTAGCCTCTACCTCACACCAAAAAAAAAAAAAAAAAAATCCCCTGTATGTACCAACACTTACTTCATTTACTGTATTTTAAAAATAAGACCCTGGGGGTTGAACCCAGCATCTGATGCGTGCTAGGCAGGACCTCCACCACTAAGCTGTATCCCCAGCCTCCACTGACTTTAGTTTCTCTACTCCAAATGTTTTTGTCATTTTCCTCTTACCTCTAACCTCCTCCTCAAAATTCTCAACGCAGTCGCCTCTAAGACACAGTGCGGGTGTTTGTGTCGCCTTTCTATTTCCTCAGTGACACTCATCGTCTCCCCCACACTCCTCTACATCTCTCCAAATCGTCTGTAACTTCAAAGTCCAGTCTGTGAGGGGCAACCACTCGGACAGCCCCACCTACAGCTGCTCCCTTCCCCGGACTCGCTCTTGCCCCCTGCTCAGTCTCCCCTCAGCCGGCTGCCCGCGCCCCACCGGGCTCACCTGCGGTACCGGGAGGGACTCCGGCGTCAGGGGATGAAAACCCGGCCGCCGATGACCCCGAGGAGGCGGACGCCATCTTGGCAGCCCCCTCCCCCTCAGCGGTCTCGCTCCCTTTCAATCCGGCTCTTCCTTTTCTCGGAATCGAATCTTCCCCACGTCTATTCTCAGAACCCGCGTTCTGCGGGCTTCTCACGGGCGTCGTTCAGGCTCCAGGAGCAGCTCAGGACCGCACCACTTGCCCGGCATGGAGGAGAGCTCCCGAACCGCGCTCCGCAAACGCGACCTTCTCTCAGAGGGCAGGGACGCTCGAGCGGGCCGGCCGCCGGGGGCCCCGCGTCTCCGCCCACGCAACGCCAAAGGCAAAACGGGGCCGCAGGAGCCCCCCCAGACGCACGCCCCCCTCCCCCTCCTCCCCAGCCACTGCCTGTTTGTCGCCTGCTCCGCCGCCGCGCTCAGGGTGGGCGGCCAAGGAAATCCCGGTACTGCGCCTGCGCCCCACCTTCTCTCCGCTCCATCCATCAATCCCAGAGAGGAACAAAGCCAATCCGGAGCGGGCATCGGGCCACGTGACGCACGCGTCACACCCCCGAGGGATCCACTGGCGGAAGACCGTGCGCCGACGGTGGCTCGACAGGCCAATATAGGTTCGTGTCTTTGACCGTGTTGCGTTCTGCTTACTGTGGATTCTGGCCGCGAGTCAGGTGGACTGGGAAGGACTGGGCGCCGGAAAGAATCCAGGACGCAGCTCTGGTGTCAAGTCCGAGAGGCTAAGCACTTATGTACTACAAAACATCACAACCACCGAGGATTCTTCCTCCAGCTTTCGCTGTTTAAGGTGCGGTCTGGTGGGACCTTCCTTCTCAAGACGCGAGACCGGACCTGTTTTGTTTGCTTCGACAATGCTAGACACAGTGGCAGAGTTCAGTAAATGTAAATGTTTGAAAACTAAGTCAATGGGGATTTGTCAACAATATAGTAATAAGAAAAGTAAGAAACATACATAAAAAGCAAACTTTAGCCGGGCTTTGTTGCCGCACGCCTTTAATCCCAGCACTCGGGAGGCAGAGGCAGGCGGATCTCTGTGAGTTCGAGGCCAGCCTGGTCTCCAGGGCGAGTGCCAGGATAGGCTACAAAGCTACACAGAGAAACCCTGTCTCGAAAAACCAGAAAAAAAAAAATTTTAAAAAGATCTGTGAAGCCGGTCGTTGGCTCACGCCGTTAATCCCAGCACTCTGGAGGCAGAGGCAGGCAGATCTCCAAGAGCTAGTTGCAGGACAGCCTCAAAAGCCACAGAAAAACCCTCTCAAAAAACCAAAAAATAAAAAAAATAAGACGTGTGAAAAAGGCTACAGAACTCAATCAGACGGCATCACACAATCTTCTCCAGCTCCAAAGTCCTCCTTAGGTTTCAGTTACTACTTACCTATGCTCCAAAGGGCACGGAAAAGCAGAGGAATCCCATTCTAGTCTAATCTTCGTATGAACCCTGCCAAGTTTTAGCAAAGAACCATGGTGGTTGTGAACATTGTGGGAGCCCTAGTGAAGACCTCTAAACAAACTGAGCCTCCAAAAAGCAAAGACTGCTTCATCCTTTAGGTCCATCTCCTGTCACGTCCTTGTACAAGGAAGGTACTCAATAATTATTTGAGAAATTAATAAATTAAAAGGCATGGAAAAACAACCCTCAGATTATTGGCCGGATACCTATCCAGATGTTTCTCCAAAGGGAACCCATCAAATAGCTCCCATTCATTAGCCTCAGATTTCTTCCTCTTCCTTCAAGACCTAAATATTTGTTTCCTTACTGCCATCTGCTGGATTCTTTGTGCTCCTTTGGGTACTGGAAGTACACAAACAGCATTGTGAGTAGGTAGCACTGAGGTATTGTATGTTACGTTATACCTAGCTAAAATCTTCACACAGCTGAATAGCACTGGAATTAGACATTGTGAGGCATAGGATCTGTCTCACAGGTACTCAGTAAATACTGTTGAATAAATTGTACGTATTTCCAGAAAAGACTTGCAGTTGCCTGGGAACTGTCAAGATGAGGCATCAGATAAAAGCACCAAGCCTGATGACCCAAGTTCTATCCCTGGTTCCCCATGGTGGGATAAGAGAATTGATCCATTCACATTTTCCTCTGAGCTCCATATGCATGAGTGCACACACACTAAATTAAGTGTAAATTCAGCTGATAGTATTTCCTAAATTGCTGGAAAAATCAGCCAAGGTAGAGATTAAAACTATTTCTGATTTTGAAATTGCAGATCGGCCAATAAGACCTGAATGACTAAGGCAGTTAAAAAACAGAATTTTCTTCCTATAATTTGTATTTCACCCCTGAAAGAAAAAAAAATCTACTTCCCAGCTTCTTAGGTGCCTTTGTTTCTACCTTGAGTGCCAGAAAATGGCCACTGTTATCTCCTCACCTTGTGTTATTTGCTTACTTGTGTATCTCCCTGATAAGACTATATTTTTTAGAGCAAAGAAGATAGCTTTCATTTTTACAGCTCAATAATGTAGACTATACCTGGAACATACTAAGTTCCCTGAATATGTCTTCAAAATATATAAATGGGTGAAGCTGACAGTCAAAAAGTGGAATTAAGAGTTGGGATTAAGAAAGGACTGGAGAGATGGCTCAGTGGCTGCTCTTCCTAAGGACCCTGGTTCGATTCCCAGCACCCACATGGCAGCTCACAACTGTCTGTAACTCCAGTTCCAGAGGATTTGACACCCTCACACTGATATACATGCAGGCAAGACACCAATGCACATAAAATAAGTAAATACTTGGCCCAGCAGTGGTGGCGCACTCCTTTAGTCCCAGCACTCAGGAGGTGTAGAGGCAGGTGGATCTCTGTGTGTTCTAAACTACAGAGTTCTAGCCTGGTTTAGCTAGTTCCAGGAAAGCTTCCAAAGCCACAGAGAAACCCTGTCCCAAACCCCCCACATCCCAAAAAAGAGTTGAGATTAAGATGTGTTGGAGCCAGGCATGATAGCTCATGCTTTAATCCCTGTACATAGTCAATTCCAGAACAGCCAGAGTTACATGGAGAGACCTTGTATTAAAATAATAATAACAATAATATAATTATTGCTTAAAGATTTGGGTGTGGTGGTACATGCCTGAGGTCTCAGCTACTCAGAAAGTTAAGAGAGAAAAACCTTGATTTGCCTAGAACAACTAGGCAATAGGCAAAAGAGCATGTCCTCATCTGGAGGATAGGTATAGCAAAAAGGAGAGTTAGGAATATTTCAGAAGCATTTTTAATCCCTAAGTCTCTCTGCCAAAGCTCCTACTCAGTCCCTGAGGTGTCCTCTGAGTCATGGCGCTATTCTTCCCTAGTAACATTCCTGGCATAGCAGAACTGGGGTGATGTGGCAAGGTGTGGACGCAGGAGCTGAGCTGACTGCGTGGGCTTGTTCCTCCCGAGGAAATGGAAAAGGGAGTTCACCGATACATACTTTCAGGAGGAAGGCAATCTGATGACCTCAAAGTAGGGCCACCCATTCAGTCTTGAGTGTATGTGAGTGTGCTTTATCAAAGCACCTTTGGGGGCTAGGGATATAACTCAGTGGTAGAGAGCTTGCCTGTCTCATCCAAGGCCCTGCATTTTATCCCCGGCACTGGAAAAAAAAAAACAGTAAGAGAATGAGTACCTTATTCATTTAGTTAGCCTTTCATTAATTACTTAGCTCCAGCTTTATCCCAGACACTCAGAATTCCTAGTATACACAGATACAACCCTTCTCCTTACTTGGGATGTACCTAAGTAGTTGAGTGCTTCCCTAGCATTCTTGAGGCCTTATGTTCAATTCCCAGCAATTAAGGGGAAAAAAATAGCAAAAGGGGAAAAATTCATCTTTCAACCTAGTAGCATGAAACACTCAAGGCAGACCAGTTCAAGTCTGGCCTGGTTACTATTGAGTTCCAAGCTAGCTTGGATTACATAATGAAACCCTATCTCAAAAAACAAAACTCAGTGGGTAGAGGTACTTGCCACCCAGCCTGTTGACCTGACCTTGAGCCCCAGTTTTCTAACAGGGTATCAAAAACATAATAAAAGAGGAGAGCCAAGCCAGGCGGTGGTGCATGCCTTTAATCCCAGCACTCCCGAGGCAGAGGCAGGTGGATCTCTGTGAGTTTGAGGCCAGCCTGGTCTACAAGAGCTCCTTCCAGGACAGCCTCAAAGCCACAGAGAAACCCTGTCTCGAACCCTCCCCCCCCCAAAAAAAAGAAAAAAAAAGCCAGTTGTAATGGTGCATGCCTTTAACTTCAGCACTTGGGAGACAGAGGCAGGCAGACCTCTGTGAGTTTGAAGCCAGCATGGTCAAAACAACAGAGAGTTCCAGGACAGCCAGAACTATGTAGTAATACCCTGTTTCAAAAATAACAACAAAGAAAACAAAAGATCACAAAAAGCAAAGAAAACAAATGGGGACAGGACCATAAGTCACTTGAATAAAATCAATAAGTATTAACATAGAATTGTATGAGTGCTATATTTCATAACTATATTTTCAGAACCAAGAGGACAAAAGTTGACACAGCCTTGACAACTTGAATTTGGAACTATTCCAGAGACATCCTTTTCAGGATTATGGAAGCTGTGTCTAGAAAGAGAAGAATGGGTGTTTGGGAGCACTTCAGTGTCCTATAGAATTTAAAATTTGCCAAAAGGGGAGGAAAGGAATAGTAAAGCAAAGGAAAATTCCAGAAATGTGACAGAGAATGACGTGGTAGAAGAATGACACCAAAATAGGATGATGTAGCCAGGGGCAAGTCTGCAGAGACTGGAAGAAGACAAAATAGGAAGTACCCAAAGCAAGGGGTCTGAAGCTTTAACACAGTTCTTCATGTGGTGACCACCCACCATAAAATTAGTTTCATCGCTACTTCATAACTGTTATAAATCACAACATAAATAGCTGTGGTTTTCTTTTTTTTTTTTTTTTTGAGACAGGGTTTCTCTGTGTAGCTTTGGAGCCTGCCCTGGAACTTGCTCTATAGATCAGGCTGGCCTCAAACTTACAGAGATCCACCTGTGCCTGCCTCCAGAGTGCTGAGATTAAAGGTGTGTGTGACTACTGCCTGACTATGTCTGTATTTTCTAATGAATTTAGGCAACCCCTATGATAGGGCCATTTGATGTCCTAAAGGGAGGTTGAGAACCACCAATGACCTCGAAAGTCATGCTATGTTGTGCCCAAGTTGTGAAGATTCCCAAAGACTACCAGGGAGACAGACCCACCAAACTCTAAAAGCAAGATTTATTGTTCATCCAACCATGACAGGGATCTTGTCTAGCTGGCTGATGCTGCAGCCACCAGAGGAAGTGAAATTCCCTATCTACTGGTATGTTTTAAAGAAAAATGTTACAGGATTACATCTGTAGGTAT